CCTAACACCGTTTAGCATTGCGCGCCGTGGTAATCGGTGTTCAGGCGTAGTCAGTCAGTCAGTCAGTCAGCTGCAACGTAGGACCAGGCACGTATATGCATCGGTCCAAGTTGCCATACCGCATTAGCACAACAAGATGAACACCGGATTCATAGGAGTAGTTAATTCAGTGGTGGTAATATATAGAAGAAAGATTGTGTATAAGGAGATAGTAAAGGAAGAAAGAATTAGTTCCTAGACAGATATGAAGCGATTTTAATCTCTTAATTTAAGGAAGACAGAGAGTGTATACACCGACGCCATTGTGATCGATTCTGAGCCATGTCACCAAGAGTCTCCAACCATTGGTTACGATAGTCACGCGGACCCCAACCAGGCAGTCTGAATCTCCCAACATGGCTCAGACCAGAAGTTAGTGACTTCAAGCACTGATGCCACGTTTTGGTTTGGTCACCCCTAACTTTCTTCCAATTATCCCCTGCACTAGTCAGCATTGCGCGTCGTGGTAATCGGTGTTCAGGCATACGCAACACGTGGCCCAACCATCTCAGTCGATGAAGATTCATAACCTCATCAACTGATTTACCATCATTCCCTAATACTCTGCGTCTAACCTCACTATTACTTACCCGGTGATCCCAGCAGATACCCACAATATTTCTAAGGCACCTGTGGTCAAATACTAGTAACTTACGAATATCTTCCACTCTTAAAGGCCATGTTTCGCAGCCGTATAGAAGGACGGAACGAACTGCCGCACAGTATACTCGTCCCTTAATTGATAGACGGATATCTCGCCTTCGCCATAGGTGACGTAAGTTGGCAAAGGCCAAGCGAGCTTTTCGAATCCGTGCTGAGATTTCGTCAGACACCAACCCATTAGGGCTGATCAGACTTCCAAGATAAGTGAAGTTGTCAACGCGTTCGACTACTTCACCCCCTATCCTTAGTTCAGTTGTTGATGCAGACCAGTCCTGAAGCAACAACTTGCATTTAGGGGGAGAAAAACGCATCCCAAACATTCTAGCATTGTTGCTCAGTGCTACCAAAATACTCTGCATTTCATCAGCGTCTTCACCAAACAGGACTATGTCATCTGCGTATTCTAAGTCAATAAGTGGACCTCCTGGTAGGAGATCAATACCCGAGAAGTCAGTCGATGAGAGCGTTATTTCCATCAGGATGTCTATGATAAAGTTAAACAAAAAAGGAGAAAGTGGACAGCCTTGACGGACGCCACTTGAGGTTGCAAAAGCAGATGACAGTTCGCCATAGGCTCTGACCCGACTAGTAGTGTTCGAGTAAAGAGCCTTCACAAGGTTTATGTACTTCTGAGGTACGCCTTTCAATGACAGACACTGCCACAGAACCTCTCGGTCAACAGAGTCAAACGCTGCTTTTAAGTCAAGGAATACCACCATTGTCGGACGCCGATAAGTATGCCTGTGTTCTAGAACCTGACGAATGGTGAATATGTGGTCGATGCAGCCACGACCAGGTCTGAAGCCAGCCTGATTTTCACGTGTTTGCAGTTCACGAGTCTTAGTTAGGGGTCCGAAAATTATCGAAGCTAGTATTTTAGATATTATATTATTTAAACTAATCCCTCGGTGGTTGTCACAGGATGATTTTGACCCTTTCTTATATATTGGGACGATAAGTGATTGTGACCAGTTAGATGGGATAACGTCTAACTCCCAGATTTTAGCTAAAATATTAGTCAACCTAATCGCTAAGACTAGACCACCATCCTTAAAGACCTCTGGGGCCAATCCGTCTGGACCAGCTGCCCTTCCTCGTTTCAGATTAGCTATAGCCTTTTGAACTTCAGCTAGAGTTGGGGGACCTACTTCAATGTTCCATTCACACTGTCTGGGAATAGAGGGTAGTTGTAGAGTAGCTGAAGGCCAGCTAAACTGCTCCTTAAAGTGTTCCGCCCATCGTTCTAAGCGTCTGGACTGGGAGCAGATGAGAGTGTCGTCTTTTTCCGAAATGGTCTGACTTACACTTGATTTATTAATTCCAGTTTCTTTTATTAGTCTGTAGAGTTGTCTTGTATTCCCTATAGCCGCCGCCTTTTCCATCTCTTTTGCTTTCGTTGCCCACCACTGCTCACGATCATTCTTTAGACTTTTGCTTAATCTAGATTTGATTTCTTTACGCTCTTCATCGTATTCAGAACCTGATGGGATGAGTTTGCGAGAATCTATCAGTGCAATAGACCTTGACGAAATCCATTGGTTCTTTGTAACCCTGTGGTTTAACTCACTGGTAGATGTCAATGCTGTTTCCACAGCTGCTTGTATAACTTTCCAAGCAACATCTGGGTCAGTCTCGTTTTCAGAACTACCTAAGTGTGACCTCAGTTGTTCCTGGAACCTACTTTTGGCTTTCTCATTACTCAATTCGGTTCTAATGAGTCTTTTTTGTGTGGCTCTTTTGCGTCCAGTGAGGCGCAAGCAGATGCGTGCTCGTACTAGGGCATGATCAGAGTCCAAGCAGGTACCCCAGAATGAGCGACAATCTTCTATTGACCCTCTCCAACGATGACTGATGGCAATATGGTCTATTTGAGTCCATCGTTGGTTTGGTGCAGGGAGTCGCCATGTTAGACGATGTCTCTCCTTATGCTTAAAATTTGTGTTTGCTAAAAATAAACGATTGTCTGAGCACAGTTGCAGCAGACGATCACCATTATCTGTTCGCTGTGCCGGAATACTAAAATACCCACCTAAATATCTTTCTGTTTTGTTTAAGCTACCTACCTGGGCATTAAAGTCACCTCCTACGAGTACTATGTCTGAACGTTTAGCTTTCTGAAGAAGTTCAGACAGCTTTCTGTAAAATTCATCTTTCACTTCATCCGAACTGCAGTCAGTGGGAGCGTAGGCAGAAACGACGAAAAGGCAACGACGTGTGTCCCTATCCTTCCGAGTTCTTACCGAGCCGTTTAGCCGAACAGCGCATAGACGACTGTTAACGGGGATCCACTCTAATAGCGCTTGTTCCGCCCTCATGCTAAGTGCTATGACTACACCTGCCAGTCCACGAGAACTAGCCATCGGGTCGCCAGATACACGGAGGGTGTATCTCGTTGGCTCTCCGTTTTGCCGAGGTGAGGTCAAGTGAATGACCACACTAGGATCCTGTATGCGTGTTTCGGAGACACAGCATACATCAATGGTACGAGATTCTAAGGTTTTAGCCAAGGAAGCCTGCTGACCGATTTGGCATAGTGTGCGTACGTTGAAGGCTCCAATGTATAGTTTGGAGCGAGGCGTAAGTAACACGTGGCACAACCATCTCAGTCGATGAAGATTCATAACCTCATCAACTGATTTACCATCATTCCCTAATACCTTGCGTCTAACCTCACTATTATTTACCCGATGATCGCAGCAGATGCTAGCAATATTCCTAAGCATCTGTGGTCAAATGCTAGTGAAGACCCTAACAAAATGCAGAGCATTTTGAGCCCCCTAATGCCCTGTGGTGGGTTCGCCATGAAGAACTCCGTAGACGCCCAACTTCGCGACCAACAGGCAGGATTACGTAAGGATAGATCGTGCACAGACCAAATCGCAACTCTACGGATCATTGTGGAACAATCAATTGAATGGAATTCATCACTCTATATCAACTTCATTGACAGCGTGGACAGGACAACACTATGGAAGCTTCTTCGACACTAAGCGTACCTGAAAAGATAGTCAATAACATACGGAATTCCAATGATGTATCAAACTGCGAAAACATTCATCGAGGACAAATGACAGACTCGTTCAAGGTAAATACCGGTGTTAGGCAAGGTTGCTTACTATCACCCTTTCTCTTTCTCCTAGTGATCGAAAGGATACAGTAGACAACTAAGATGCAGCTGGACGATCAAGACTTCGCAGATGATCTGGCTCTTCTATCGCACACGCAACAACAAATGCAGGAGAAGATGACCAGTGTAGCAGCAGCCTCAGCAGCAGTAGGTCACAATATACACAAAGAGAAAAGCAAGATTCTCCGATTCAACACAACATGCACGAATCCAATCACACTTGACGGAGAAGATTTGGAAGATGTAAAAACCTTTACATATTTGGGCAGCATCATTGATGAGTACAGTGGATCTGACGCAGATGTGAAGGCGCAGATCGGAAAAGCAAGAACAGCATATTTACAGCTGAAGAACATCTGGAACTCAAAACAACTGTCTACCAACCATCACCAAGGTCGGAATTTTCAATACAAATGTCAAGACACTTCTACTGCACGGGGTGGAAAATTGGAGAACTGCAAAAACCATCATCCAAAAGATACAGGTGTTTATTAATAGCTGTCTAAGCAAAATACTTCGGATCCGTCGACCAGACACTATCAGCAACAACCTACTGTGTGAGAGAACAAACCAGATCCCAGCGAAGGAAGAAATCAGAAAGAAGTGCTGGAAGTGGATAGGACACACATTGAGGAAAGCACCCAACTGCGTCACAAGGCAAGCCCTCACTTGGAATCCTCAAGGCCAAAGGAAAATAGGAAGACCAAAGAACGCATTACGCCAAGAAATGGAGATACACATGAGAAGAATGAACAAGAAATGGATAGAACTAGAAAGGAAGGCCCAGGACAGAGTGGGTTGGAGAATGCAGGTCGGCGGCCTATGCTCCATTGTGAGTAACAGGCGTAAGTAAGTAAGTAAGTTATACATTAACACAATTCACAGCCAATTTCAGCTGGTGTGGAGCGGTTAGCTGCTTAGTTGATGCACAAGGTTGGATATAGTAAGGAGCTAGTTAATAGTGTACCAATCGTAGCTTATTCACTGGCTCAAAGTTAATGGTGCTGATCGAGCGTGTAATTGGCCAAGTCAGAAACACTATGCTATGGAGTAAATAACAGACCAAGTTATAAGTAAGATACTGATTGATGAATAGATTCGTTATATTGGTCAGTGAGTCACAAGGTATAATATAAACTAAGGATCAATGTACTACTATCACAAAACTTACTTGTATCATTCCAACATCATTTGCTCCATCGCCTATAGCCAGAGTAACTGCATCTTTAATCGACTGACGAACTAATTTTACCAACTGTGCTTTTTGCCATGGACTAACTCTGCAATTAAATATGTTTTAAAAATAAAATAATATGAAATGGTTTTAGAGATACACATGATGTTTTAAACACACTTTATCAGCACCAGCATAGCAGAAATGTAAGGTCTAAAAGGTAGATTTGTGTGTGTTTTGTTATTTAGTCCAAGGATTGATAGATCAATCAATCATTGTACAAATGTTATTTTAATTACATTCACATAATGCAATAGTAAACTAAGGTGGATAAATCTTAGCTCAATGAACGACTACATTTTTCGTCGTTAAATTTAAAATACATCCAGAAGTTTCTATAATTTCTGCAATTACACATTTGAAGATGGATGCAAAATATCGTGAATTGGTTGAAGTTCGACCCCTGTTCAGTTGACTGAAAGTTAAGCGTTCGCGCAGGACCGAAGTTCATATGTTTGAGTCCCACATGTGGGGTCGTGGGCGACCACTGATGTGGAGTCCCATACTAGGATGAAACAACTGTCCAGTGCTTCCATGTCCTTAATGGTGGTCTGATATATTTAGCTACTCACTATAACCCTGTATGTCCCAGTTCTGGAAGTGTGATGCCATTCACATCCAAAAAATGCACAAATGCGGTCAGCTCAAGCTACATAAGCTAAATGGGGAACGAATCAATATGGTTCATGAAAAACAGGGAAACTCAGCGAAACGTTTGTAAAACAAAATTAAGTAATACCGTTTTAGCTAGAATAAAAAATTCTAACAGAATATGCAGCTAAGGGAGTCAAGAGGAATAAACTACAGGTGTGTTAATGGAGGGGTTTTGTGATGATTAGAAGTATTCGAATGGTTGTAATAACCAGGCATTCCCAAAACAGTGCAATTTAAGCTAAGCAGAAATAGGCTAGCATCAAAGAATGTATTCTGTTTAGAATTCGAAATCAAGTACAGGAGTTAGATAGGCGACAAAAAGGAAGAAACTGGCTCTGCAAACAATGACCGTTTAGGAGTTCTTGAAAACAAGCTGTTCTACCAAGACTTTTTGACCTCATCTGTTTATTAGAAACTATAAAAGTCTTTTCGTGAGAGCATGTTTCTGAGTGTTGCTTGACAATGTCTATTTAGTATCTACGAAAATGCCAAGGTTTGCGGTTAGTAATCTACTCATTGTTATAAGACATCACTAATTTATGAGTTGCATAAGTTTCCGGTGGTACTACTGAGTGACTTGGGAACGTTATGTTCAGGCATAGTTGATCTGGTGATTACATTTCCAATTATTTTGGGCACCTCTTTCCCATGGGTATTCATTTGCACTGTTTTCACATTCCCAAGGTGTTATGGGTTCAGTGGTGGTTTTCATTTTAAAAACTACTATTATGATTACGATTGATGATTATGATCACTTGCCTGCAACATATAACCGATTTACAGGATAAAGCAACGTCCAAAAACTGTTCTCTGCATTCACATAATAACGCAAACTCCAGTGTCTGAAAGTGTTAATGCGTAATGCATTCGAAATAAAATAAATAAATAAATAAAGTTATATATATATATATATATATATATATATATATATATATATATATATATATATATATATATATATATATGAGTAACACTCGATCAAATCGACCAGAACGCCATGCTTCTCTGTCTATCGTTGAACAGAAATTACTTTTTCAGAAAAGTGGAAATAATGAACCAGTAAATTTTTATAAATGAGCAGCAATGATTGTAATTGTCATGAAGCATAATGGAATCATCTGATTATGTGCCGATTACTTGAATGAAGCACTAGAAGCCAACGCGTCTGCACTAACCTTACCCGAAGCTGAATAGGGGAGATTAATTTGCAAAGTTAGACTAATAAGAATCATGTTGCAGATTCTAGTGGTCGAAGACTAAACACCACCTGACAACACACGTCCATAAAGGAGTGTCCCGGTATAATCGACTATCTTATAGAGTAAAGAAACCTTTATCTACGTTTCAATACGTCATGAACACTATGCTACAAAAAACATGCGACATCGAGGCCTATCTGGACGATATACTCACTATGGGGACAGACCAAAAAGTGGATATGGTGTTCATACCCATGACATCGAATTCCAGTTATGTGCTGAGAAGTACGCTATCTGGGCTTTATAATGGATAAAAACCGAAGATCAGATAATGAAAACATCGACACTATTAAGATCATGTCTAACTTGACTGATCTTTCTTGAGAAGTCAGACGCTATGGAATCTTCTTTCCTAGACCTCCTTCACCTACGTGCACCACTAAATCATCTACTGAAAAAAAATAGCAGATGTAATTAGTTGATTGGTTGTCAAATAGTTTTCATGAGAATAAAACAGATGTCATCAGACTTTTCCCTCATGTATAACAATCCGGCCCCACCAAATGTGATTGCTTCCGATGCTTCAAGCTAAGAGAACAGCATCAGTTATTTCATACGTCTAATGGATCAGAGAAAGCTACTGCTCGTGCAACAAAATAGCTGGCAGTGACACAAAGAAGTCATAATCAAATAGAAAGAGAAGCTCTAATATATATTTTTGCCATGAAAAGGTGTCACAAATTGTTGTTTGGCCATCAGTTGATGATTTAAACAAGCCACAAACCATTAACCGAAGTTTCCAGATCTAAGGACATTACGGTATACACCGCAAAGAGTCCGAAAAATTGGTGAACTACACAGTTGAGCTACGATTTGAAAATAAAATAACGACCAACGGATAAATCTAGACAAGCGGAGGCTCTATCAAGATTAACCCATTCTAAACTAGAGGGTGGCTGAAGTTCATAGAGTATTAACGGATGTGATTTCTAGATTATAGATAAATTCCAAGCCATCAAAGAAACCACCGAGAAGATTAGTATCTTGAAAAACGTACAGAGTGATCTCCTGACCAAATAGCCAACATCTAAGTTCTACAGAGAACTATGACAGTATTGTCAGCGGAAAGGTTCAATAATAATAGTTGACCCATGTGTCATGTCCGGTCACAGCATCGTAGTACCAGGAATCCTCCAACGTCAATTCTCAAATTAGTTTTACAATAGTTATTCGGGAATAATTTAAGTCATTAACATGAAACTATGCATATCGGCCGTCAGTGGACTATGAGGTCGAAGAAAAATACTGAAGCTGCTGGCCCTGTCTACAAACCGCTAAAAATCCTGCAAAATGTAAATTACTACCTTGACCGAAACCGGATAATCCCGAACAATAATGTATGCCGATTCGGTCATCCTGGACGCCTTTACCAACTGGTCGGAAGTTTACTCTATGCCGAACCTGACAGCGAAAGCAACACCATCGGATTAGTATAGTTTTTTCAAGGTTCCGGAGATCGTATGGAACATAATTGAGATCGGAAATGGAATTATACATTTATGACCTCCGCCATTGCAGCCACAGACCAACGGGTAAGTTGAAAAGTTTGTAGATACATTTGAAATGTGTCAAATGAAGGAAAGAGATGACGAAATACCGATGCAGGTAGCATCTTATCGAGGTACTCCTAATCCTTCCAAGTTCTCCAGCTGAGTGCATGTTCATGAGAAATATTCGAACTATCTTCAGCAGCATGTTGCCATCCAGATGAATAGAGAGATCTAAAAACGAGCCTACGCGCAGCTTTCATATAGTAGAAAGGGTACTAATTAGATTATATCTAGGTAAAAAGAAATGGAAAGCTGCAATAACCGAATGAAGAATCGGTAAAGTATAGTATTGATTAGGGGGAGTTGGTGGCATGTACAGAAGACATGTAAATCAGATGCGCAGGGATGAAAGGACAGTTATCATACAAGACGGACTTTCATATGACACATTGAAGAACACTTTTTAAAGAAGCACTAATGAGCAAGAAAACAGAAAAAAACACAAGGTCAAAAGAACTCAACTATCACAAGTGAATATTAAACGGAATACAGTGAGAAGGTTACAGTTGAACCTCAGCAGAAAATCAAATTCCGGAAACTCTAAAAAGTGGAGGTGTTAGGACGGCATCAAGAGAGCGCGATGTAGCCTATAGATGCTTTGAAGGAGCCGAAGTGATTCTATCTGGTCACAGTGCAATAGAATTTCTAGAATATCGAAATGGTATGCTGTGATAAAATTCTCGTGTTTGGATTGGGTGGATTATAATGATGCTTACAGACTATACCAAAACCTATAAATACAAGTGTTTTTCTGTACATTTAGACATTTACTTCAGTAAACCCTTCTCTTTATTTCTGCCATTTTGATTTACGACTTCGAGAAAGGGTTCACCTAATGATAATTTTTAAGTAAGACTATTTGACTTATGTGACAATTAAAATATGCAGGTACTCCTTCAGATCACTACTTCATTCGGTAGATTTACTATTCAGTATGATGATCGAGTAATAATAATAACAGTCAAATTAATTAACACAACACATACATTAATATATTTCTATGAGCGAAAAAGGGAATGGAACACTCACTTCACCATCAACAATTAAAGCAAAATCATTCTCCATTCGTATTCGATCACCGAAATCTTCAATTAAATTCACTAATTGCTCACGTGTTTGATCTAACGACTTAGTATTCATAGTTAGTAAGCTTATAGATTGCGTTAATAACTGACAAGAATAGCCTATTTGGAAAAAATTAGAATAAAGTAGGAAATGTACACAGTTGTGGGTGGCACTGATAGCTTATAATGAAGAAGTTGATCGCTTAACTGGATTAGTATTATTATTACTACCATGATTAATGCTACTGTTGTTATGATTAACTACTATTCATAATATTAATATGACAAGTCATTCAATTGGTTAGTCGACTAACAATTTGCTTTCAGGGTTAGCGATTTGAAATAGACAATGACGAAGTGATTTTGGTTATTACTCCACAAAGTTTTTTTTTCATTTCTTTCTTTAATTATTTATTTGTGGACTGTCAATTGAACTATCTAATAAGTACTCGATTTCGGACGTTAGCTAGTCGTTCTACTTTAAAAAGCTACTAAGTACTCGGCCAATCATATAACTGTTATCTTGACGTGGTGATTAGTTATGCGTATCGTGATGACATAGTTAAGCTATATTAGCTAAAACGTTAGTTTCCTTAGGTTTCAATACACTGGGTAGGTCGGTAGGGGTTACAAAACATCGAGCCTATAAATGGCATATTCCACCGTGTCCCATGGATTTGCTTCTATAGTCGTAAAGAGTTTAGAGTACATTAACACACGAAAAACTATTCGCTAAAAAGCCGTATGTGACCGGCTTCAAGTGGTTGTCTTTTCTGAAGTGTATGTCCATCACATCAATGCTCAACAATGACAAAGAATTTTTAAACTCTAATTAGAAATTAATGTTCCAAGGCGAACAAAAGCGCACGCAGAAAACTTACACACAATAAAAAGTACTCACCAATATTGATAGCTGTTTCTTGTTTATCTCCAGTCAGAACCCAAATAGAAATACCAGCTCTCATTAAATTAGCTATAGTATGTGGCACGCCTGTTTGTAATCTATCTTCAATGGCAGTTGCTCCAAGAAGTTGAAGATTCTGTTAGATGAGAGTAAAAGAGTAGAAACACGTAAGTTCTCTTTGAAAAAAGAAATCTGATTAAAATGTAGAAACAATAAAAATTATGGCTAAATGTGTATAACACACGGTTAAGTACCAAGTCAGAGAGAGGGTCATATGCCCTCTTCATTGATTTCAGTTAAGGGCAATCAAGTAGTATCACGAGAAATCACATGAAGCGTGAATTTAAATCGATTATACTTGACAAATCACTTACCAGGTAAAGATTTATGAAGTTGACTTAAAAAACGTTTTCAATGTGAGTGCTAGTGATATAATGCCATGTGATTGACCGAATATATATATATATACATATATATATATATATATATATATATATATATATATATATATATATATATATATATATATATATATATATATATATATATATATATATATATATATATAAAGAAGAGAGTAAAATAAGACAGATGGAAGATAAAGAATCATGGAGAGCAGCAGATTAACTAACTTGTTCAATTTCATTAGCAACCGACTCTAGCTTAGCTTCACGATCGTTTAATGCTGTGCTAGCATTGTAAAAATTTCCTACCCATTTATTATAAAATGCTGGATCAACTTCAGTCCATGCAATGCACAATGTTCGTAGACCTGAAATATAAAAATCAAAAAACATAATTTACAGTGAAAAGTATGATATATTATACATTGGAATCATTCCAAGAATGAATATTATTAATCGTTACACAATCTTACTGATCTTAGTAGACGGGTGGAGCACAATAAGTACTGAAAATGTATTGACCAGAAGCAGTGCAGGAATCCAATGAGACACGGGGCAACACACCAATGATTAACATGACAAAATCAAGTAACAGAACATCGACAATTGTGTCAGAATACAATAGGTCTCATAAATGAAGGTATTTCATGAATATGAGTTGCGTATGTCCAACCACCACATATCTTTACACATGTTCGCCGATGTATGAGTAGGTTGGAAAACAGGGAGAAGGAGACAAACCAAAAAGAAGTAGCTAGTCTATACATCTATTGACTATTAAACTGGCTGAGAATTCTATATTGTACCAAAATATAATATTGAATAAAGCCAATAATAATTAATAACTGACTTTTGCTATTAGATGCTAACTAGCGTGTCGGGCTGTGTCATTATTGTAAACAATGATTAATGTCCAGTGGCACGGCTAAAAAATCAATTGCAATCGTGTAGGTGAATTCAATCTCCATCTTTCGTAGATCTTGAGTATCAAAATTATTTAGTACTTTTTGTTTCACAATTTGATTTTCTTTTCTGAAATATGATAGTAATTTTATTTATAAAAAAAGTTCAGTGATTAAAGCACTAGACTGCTTATTGATCAATTTAAAACTTCGCAGATCCGAACCGCAATACTCCTCTACTTACTTCGGATTGATTAGTCTGGCTTCAACAGTAGTATCTACAGTTGTCACGTCTTAGACTTGGCTTAAACAGTTTGCTACAACAGATGAATCTGTGTAAGACAAAAAATTAGGTGGATAAATGGATGCTTTAACAGAAAATATACAGTAAATAACGCGTAAAACAAAAACAAAACAATTTACCAGTTTTAGCAAAACTCTCCAGATGATCCATAGTTGACTGAGTAAATAGACTACTGAGGGCCAATCGTTCAAAAATAACAGTATCCTGTAAGGCGAAGCAACAACAACAATTACAAACAGTTTGAAACGTAAAGTGCTAGTATATGGAGAACTACTTTCAACGCTCATATCGTTTATTTAGCAAGACTATGACATACTCTATCGTTGATATTCAGGACTAAATTACTACCAGTACTTGTCGGCATAACTCAGACCTATATATAAAATAATATAAACATTATATCCGTCAACCATGCTAGTGACTACAAAGACTCAGTAGCACAGAAGATAACGTGTTCAGGCTCCATCCTCTCTAACTTAGGTTATTTTCCTGCCAGTATTTTTGCTGTCATATAGGTTTCTCACATTTCCTTCTCTTGTAGCTTTTTCTGCTGCCATTACTAAGTCTTGCACTTGCTTGTTTACTTTTGTGTATTCGATCTGTACCATAGCTTTCTCTGGAATGATTCTTCTCAGTGTCTTTCTGTTTGGCTTATACTACCTCCTTGGGCATTAAAGTCACCTGCTACGAGTACTATATCTAAGTGTTTAGCTTTTTAATAAGTTCAGAAAGCTTTCTGTAAAAGTCATCGTCTTCTGTTGGTCCTTCACGACTCCCTGGCTGGGGTCCGAGAGATGGTGCAACACAGTGGCTAGAGACGTTATCAGATATGGTTCAGAATGGAAGCCAGTGGCGATCCTGCTGTAAACTTATTTTACTTTCTTCATAAAAAGTGGTTGTAACTTCCTTAACTGAAAGAATTCCTTCTGGTTGTACCTTTCCGTTCCCCCAATTATTATTATTGTTATTTCACTACCATATACTAATCTGTGGTCGTTATTGTTCTTTTTTTTATACGCACCTTACATTCTTTTTCTCTTCCCATTCTCATTGTTCTGTGTGGCGCATATATATCTTGTGTGCCCTTGTACCAATATTTGTGTTCAAATAAATAAGGTTGCAGTCAGTGGTGACGTAGGCAGAAACAACGAAAAGGCAACGACATGTGTCCCTATCCTTCCGAGTTCTTATTGAGCCGTTTAGCCGAACAGCACATAGATGACTGTTAACGGGGATCCACGCTAATAGTGTTTGTTCCGCCCTCGTACTTAGTGTTATGTCTACACCCGCCAGTCCACAAGAACTTGCTATTGTGTTTCCAGATACACAGAGGGTGTATCTCGTCGGCTATTCGTTTTCGCGAGGTTAGGTCAAGTGAATGAACACACTAGGATCTTGTATGTGTGTTTCGGAGACACAGCATACATCGATGGTACGAGATTCTAGTGTTTCAGCCAAAGAGGCCTGCTGGTCGATTTGACATATGGTGTATACGTTGAAAGCTCTGTATAGTTGGAAGCGAAGTTTCAGTAAACTTGGGACAGTGCTTTGCAAACTAGAATCGTTGGCTATGGTGACGCTTGAGGAGGAAGTTTAGTGGTGAAAGTCGATGTAGGAGGAAGAATAGGAATAGAAGAGGGGAATTGATTATGGATACAGTGGTCTTGAGTTCTGTTAGAGGTATGAGGGTGGTTATCACTTCCCGGTTGCGCACACTATGGAAAGGTTCTTCTAGAGGTTCCTGAAAAGAAAATTGGATTAGAGGTGGTCATAGTGACCTGAGAGCGTGACAGCAGTGCTCAAGGGACATCTGCTTGAGGTCAGTCACACACGACCTTTTTGTGAGTAGTTTTTGTGTTAGCTCCATACTTGTTGAGACCTTACTGCCGGAGACGGAAATCCGTGGGATAAGGCGAGGTGTGCATTCTTAGGGTCGACATTTTCTAACCCCACCCCTACTTGTGGAAAGATAGCATCGCTGTCATGCTGGTTGTCTGAAGGAATAATCTTACTGCTGTCACACCTCTGTACAGTCAGCAGTACGACTTCGCCTTCGGACCTTGGATTTGTTTCTTTTAGTCTTACCGTTCTTCAACCGGTCTGTCTGGCATGGTAGGACCTTGAAGAACGGTTGTTCCAGCCAGTGTAGCTCAGTTGCTTCATCACGATAGGCGAACCCGACGACCACGTCAAGGTAGCAACAACGGTCGGGCATATTTCCTTCTCTTGTAGCTTTTTTTGCTGCCATTACTAGGTCTTGCACGTATTTCCGCTTGTCGGCTTTAATGTTCTTCTTCACTTGCTTGTTTACTTTTGTGTATTCCATCTGTACCTTGGCTTTCTCTGCTCTTGTTCGACTGCCGTCTTCTTGGTTTTCCTTGCTTGAATTCTGCACAGGGTTTTAATGGAGATCCATCCGTTATGATACTTCTTCTTCAGGCCCAGAACCTTCCGACACGTTTAAATCAATTATTCTTTGGTCCCTTTCCAGTTTTTCTTCATAGTAGTTTCATCTTTGAGTAGATCTTGTAAGGTTTAGAACCTGCTGCTGAGAGCGATCTTGAATTCGTCGTGCTTGTCAGTACCTCGAAGGAAGACTCTATTAAACCTTCGTAATGCTGTTTCTCCAGTGCTACTTGGGCTTCAGTTCCATCTTGACAGCCACAATTGCTGTGACATTTAAAAATCTTAACAATGTAAAATTGAATTATTTTTTTATTATCTTGAATACGTTCATTGCACCTACTTTACGTATCGGCTTCCATTAGATATAGTGCTGTATAATTAACTAAGCAGAACTTAGTCTTCGGAGTCACAAGTTCTTCGGGATATGTTCAACAAAACTTATAGATACCCATCTTTCTAACCATTCAACGTACATGTATTTTGCAAGTACATACATATGACATTTATTAACTGTATCTGTTCAGTCAGTCAGTCGGTCAGACAGCTACAACGTAGGACCAGGCACATATATTCATCGGTCAAAGTTGCCAGACCTCTGTAGCACAACAAGATGAACAACAAATTCAGTTCGTAGAAAGAAAGATATAAAGCGATTTTAATCTCTTAGTTCAGAGGAAGAGAGAAAGTGTATACATCTACGCCATTGTGATCGATTCTGAGCCATGTCACCCACAGTCTCCAACCATTGGTTACAATAGTGGCGCGGATCCCAACCAAGTGGTCTGCATCTATCAACATGGCTAAGACTAGAAGTTAGTGACTTTATGGAGTGATGCCACGTTTTGGTTTGGCCGCCCCTAACTTTCTCCCAACCATCCCCAACACTAGTCAACATTCCGCTTCGTGGTAATGGGTGTTCAGGCATACGTCGTCTGAGTTGGGTCATAGAATTGAACTGTGATCAGAAGTTATCTACTTGCCATGTTGTATTTATTCTGTCTATCGAGCGAGCGGGCTTGTGATAACTGTAACCTGACAAATAAGTGTTAAATTATCTCGACGTCAACTTAAGGTGAATCTTCGCAGTCGCGAAGTGTATCATCGGTGAAGATTTCAGACACTTGACTATCAACAACATAGTTCACTGTTGGTAAAGGAATATTACAGGACTCTTGGTGAATTTCATCAAGTTGTATCGATCTGACATTGATGATTCCCATTCTTTGTATCAACAATGCTTCCGTATTTGACGACAGGTCGTTCATTGCAAAACAATAAATCTTCAGCAAACCTACTGTTTTTTCGGTGATTGCATAAAATCTCATGGCATTTCATTTCTAATTTTTATATCCGTCTTTATTTTTTGTAGGCCGCTCATGTAGGTGTTGGGATAAGTGGCATGGAAGGCAGACAAGCAGCATGTGCATCAGATTATGCAATAACCCAATTCCGTTTCCTAAATAAATTACTTTTAGTACATGGTGCATGGAATTATAATCGATTGACTAAATTAATACTTTATTCGTTTTATAAGAATGTTTGTCTTTATTTAATACAATTTTGGTTTGCCATACTAAGTGGATTTTCTGGTCAAATTGTGTTTGAACGATGGAGTATTGGTTTATATAATGTGGTAAGTGGTCGATAAGCTGTATTGATAATACATTGTTTTTATCTTGATGGGATTTTTCATTTCAAGTAACAGTTTACATGCACCCAGTAAACTTGACTAAAGCAACCAGAGGTTACTGGGCAATTGTTTCGTATGAGGATAGACCCTTCAATAATGTTAGTCAGACATATGTAACATAGAACCTAGTAAATATGTATATCGGTTATATAACACACAAATCGAACCGATCTCCCTAAAGCACTTTTGACGCGAAATGTAGAGTGTACAACACAACGGCCTTTTATAAGCACGTACTGGAAAATATCAATTGTTATTGTGAATTGATGATGATACGTAAGCATAATACAAAGTTCTGAGTTTTCCTAATGATCAATAATATGTATAAATTTTTTTAAAGCAACGCCAGTATCTTGGCACCAGTCGACAGCTGTTTTTAGTCTCTTTTTAAAGAAAATTCATTTGTTCATTTGAGATGAGCTTTTTGATCAATCCAATAATTTCGGCTGATTAAATTGTGTATTATTGTCTTAAGATAAAGTGTAAACTAGATTATTGTAGTTTAATTTGTTGGTAAATAAAAAATACTTGGGGCGCTTTCATTTTCATTCTGGTGTAAGGTCAGAACGTACTGAGTTCGATCCTTGACATTGGTATCTATTCAGTGATCAGTCAGATGCAAATAAATCTCAATCCTACAGGAGGTCAATCATGGTCTAAGTCAGTGGTAACATCTCTGATTATAAGGCTGAGTGATACGGCAATATACGTTAACTCTTGACTACACTGACGAGTATCAAATAGAACGAAACCTAGGTCAAGAAGGGTTTTTTGTCGACTACCTTCAACCACCACTTAACACCGACTATCGCTATCATTATTATTACGCTGTTAAGCGTGTACCATCCCAGTTTCAGATATAGAGTATATATTTCTGTCAAATGTTCTTATTATTACATAAGACTGAAACAAGAGAATAATATTTTTAGAACAAAGAGTTTAGGAAAATTCATGATTTACATCACGAATTGATCATAATTAGATATCCACTAAAAGTCAGGAAGCAGAAGAAAGCCGATTAGTCGCAAAATAGAACTCCACAGCAGACCCCAATAACAAAATTGTTGGTTTTTGTTTTACTGTTTTTCAATTAGCTTCCCCGTTATCACAGGACCAAAGGTAACAAATGTTTCAGCCGATAAAACTCAATTGAGTAATTACGGTACTCAACCCCGATCACTACACCAAGGTAGCAGGCTACGATTAAGACAATAAGGTGAGCTATATAAAAGGGAAGTATTTCTAATTTCATGTAGGCAAAGGTTGTCGATATTGGATCGATTTGGAGAAACACATTGACATTATAGACCAGAATGTTTTAATCATTTCGATACAGCAGTCAACAATTCATGGTCATATGGACTTATTCAACTTGTTGACTTAGTCACTGTCCTACTACATCATTTTTAACTATTACTTCATATTGAATTACGAGGTGTCCAGCCATACACATATGTAATGCATATTAGAGCATTGTCAGTTGATTACAGTTTTAGGATGTCACATATCTGTGATTGAGAATAAATACATTGGCATAAAAGGTAAATAAGACATAGTACAATTAATTTTTCTTCATTAGAAAAGAAGACATGCAAATACACCCTTACCGCTCCTTTGACCATTACGGAAATACGTCCATTAGGTTCACGAACTACAACACCCATACGTTTACGAAAACTGGTAAAATCAAGTACATGTAATATTCCATAATGTTTCTCGACACCACGCTAAATTATTTTATTTAAAAAGAGAAAATATAAAGTATATAAATGAATATATCAAACGAGGAAACATATTGATGGCTTCAAATATATTCATGAGATTTTTAAATGTGTCTAGTTATAGGTTTCGTTTTATCTAGGGCTGTTTCAGGTAAATACAAATCTGCTCGCATCGTAGTGTATTTATACTCACAATGAACCTTAGTATCTACTTACTAATTAGAACACTAACATATCACTAACCAAGCTGAGTTAAAGAAACCAATAACTTATTCAGTATGTATATACATGTTGGTAAAAGTTTGTGCTTTCATTCTGCTGACATTTAGGATTAAACCAGAACAGTCTCTCAAGAACTAATAGCATTTCGATCAAATATCTTGATATTCACATGTATTTTCAAACTGACTAAAATCTAGATATTATACAAAAGGGTAGAACTAAGCTAATCAAATATCAGTCAACCACGATTTAGCTTTCGTAAATGAAAAAAGATATTTCAAAAGGAAAACGGTAAAATTACAAAAAATCTAGAATTTTGAAACACTAACATTTCAACTCTATTATCTTAACCCTGGTACTCCTAAAAGAGCATCATCCTCCGAACTTAATGCATTCATTCGAAGAATATCATATCACAGTTACATAAGATGCTTTACGTCAATAGTCCAACATTCTGTTGGCGCTATACCAGGTTGGTGGTCACGAAGGGTCTACCTAGAGGAGGTGGTCACATGGGCTCCAAGATCTTAAGGAAACAAATGGCGTATTAACCAATTGTTGGTCATCGGTTATCATGGGTCTGCATCTTCTAACGTTGCTCCACTGCCTTGTGGATCAGTCCTTTATGTCGGAGGCTCCGGGTGTGCCCCCCTAAGAAAACCACCTGCTTCGGTTTGAGCATCCGGGAAGTATTCCAGCCATCACATAAATCAAATGATTTATGTAGCGCAAAGCTATTTGGTGCTTCCTTGTACCAATGTTTATGTGCTTAAATAATAACAAGAAGAAACAACGATTTACTTATTCCTTTTTTCCTTCGAATTTCTGTAAGAAGCTTGTTACAATGAAACCAATAAAAAATAATTAAATACATAAAAAAGTGAGCGTTCAGTTTACTTTTAAATGGTTCTTTTGCTGATGACAATCAGTTCTGCTCAGTCTAAGTCTTTACCGTTATAAAATATAATAGCATTTTACAATAGGTTACTTTAAACGCCGTAAATTCAATCGATCAACTTAATTATAATCAAAGTAGAGAGTATAGAGGATAGGTTCGTCGACACAAGACGTTACAGTACACCGCTACAGTAACGTGGGATTATCTAGATGACAGTTGTATGTATCAGTGATAACAAACGAAAACACGATTAGAGAACGAATATGATTCCAAAAGAAAAAATGACTTTATGAAATAAAAGATGGTGAAACAGCAGTAAAGTTCCAGATCTAGAGAAAGGTGAATACATTTGCATCTAGCATATTTACTTATTATTCAGAATATTCATGCGAACTTCAATCAGATTGAGTCTGTATCTAGCAAGAATGATTTAACTCAAAAAAACTGTTAATGCTTTCTTAGACTGATGTTATGCTTATATATATATATATATATATATATATATATATATATATTCTTCTACCCGTTCAATGGTGTCATTGCTTATGCATTCGACAGTAAGCACATTTTTTGTATGCTGCAAAAATTTTTAGTCCATCAATGTATATAAATTTTGTCTATTGAATTAGTTAATTAATTACAAAGTTAGCGCATTTTTATAAGCTTTAGAAGATGGTACCATTTAGTGGTTAAAAGAAATGTTTACAGAAGCATGAAAAGCATCCAAGTGTGTCACAGACTAAAATTCTAATTAGTTTATCGTATTACGACAAATAACTATCACAACAGAATAATGAACTAGACTGTACACAATCGAATAATCATAGAGTTCTGAAGAATAAAAATAATTAATGAGTGATAAATAGGTGAACAAAATGTTTTGAAAACATCTTGAACACTGATGAAATCTACTTTGAATAATTTGCAACTTTATCAGACAATAGTTTTGAAAGTAAAACTGTTTAGACTTAAAGGAGATTTTCAAAGGATTGATTAAGTATTATGCAACTATTTTAGTGAATATTGTCGTTGAGCTAACACGCACATTAGATTTTGAAAAGACGATGGAAAAATCAATAATAACAACACCAGCAATACTTCCATGAATATCGTCGGATGTCACAGGTACAGGAAGGCACCAAATACATATGCGCCACACAGACCTAATTTGATATGTGTGAGGGTTGTGATACTGCCCGGGTGCCCGAACCGAAGCAGGTGGTTTTCTTAGGGGACCACACCCCAAGCCTTTGACCTAAAGGTCTGAACCAGAAGGCAGTGGAGCAGCGTAAGGAGATGCAGTCCCATGGTAGCCGGTGACCAACGATTGGTTCATACACCATTTGTTCCTTAAGGATACTGGGGCCCATGTGCACCATTGATTTGGAATCCGGTTAAAGCGCTGGACATTCGCTTTTCGTCCTCTCATTTTTGTGAAAAACACCCCCGCTACGTGGAGGCAGTGAGTAGGACTTCCCTGGCAGAGGCTATATACTCGTGGCCATGTGAGAGCATTTCGAGAGGGAGAGCGGACTCTCCCCACTCTCGGCCGCACCAGGGCATTTGAAGGCGGATGTCACAGGTGCATTCACTAATCGCAATTCCTTTGTTCCTGGACACCAAGATCTACTTTTCCTATAATCTACACCTAATGTTTTATTATTATTGACAGTATTACGACATTTATTGCTTTGGGACTTGTGTTGATACTATTATCTCATTGTGCTAATGTGACGTGGTAGCTAGAGCCAATGCAAATATGAGTCGGGTTCTATGTGGTATATAACTGACTATTACCAACACAAAGTAGATTGGTGGATTGCCTGAATTATGCAACGTTTTAATATCATGTAACCAGAGACCAATGACAGACGCTTTCTACGTGAGAGCCAACCTGCTGCGCAAGTCTGAAAATATTAAGGAAGAATAGAAGGGTACAATTGACAATTAAATCTAAAAGAACATAACATATGTTATCGCTTGGAATCACTAATCGATGCCATGCACTGTACTGACTAACCGAGATTCCGATCATCGATTAGTTTAATTACATATGTGCAGTTGGACCGGTGACCTATTAACCGATTGACCGATGAACAGCAAACGATACATCAACGCCTATTGGTCTTCAAGCTCCTTCAAACCCAGCAGCCAATCGAAAGACAAAGATGAAATGTAGATCAGTTCTGTATTGTACTTAATTCAATCATGACTCAAAACTCATACAAAAATATGCATGAAATGACTGACCACATAATACACCAAATGGGAAATCATACTTAAAACATGATCAAGGCATAAGTGGGAAAAAGCAGAACAAACAGTAGATAATTAATTAGCAACACCGCAGGGATAGTAAAATGTGTAACAATGATTGATAGATCCACTTGAAGCTTACAATGAGAACGAAAAAACAGTTACTAATTATACAATACAAATATATATGACAATCCAAAAAATAATCCCAAAAGTTACGACAATTCAAATATTTATCCTGTAACAACACCACATAGAAAGAATTTCGCAGCCGAACTATGATGAAATGAATAAATAGTCCAACTGATAGCGTACATCTTTTCACTGACAATTCGGCCTTGAGCTAGGAGGCACATGATACGTCTGGATTCACCAACTTATCGTTATGAAAGTTTTTTGAAGAAAAACCATTTCTCTTTCGGTGGTCCCTTCATTGTTCTGTTATTACTGTAGAGCGTGATAGGTTGAATTTTTTAAGCAACTACTCCAGGTCTTGAAGTTGTTCGCAAATATACTACTCTTTCTCTTACAACTATTGACCGTCTCAGTATATTAAAAAACCACACCTTTACTAAACAACACCCAAGAATAACATTAAAATGACTTGAATCTTCATTGACTGAGTAGGTTGGAACACAAATTACGTAAGCACAACCATCGCCTACCTCAGCATACATTGTTTTGTAGTATACGATTAGGTTGGAAAAATTTAGTAGCACCTAAACCAAGATTCACAACCAGCCTGTGACTTGAACTGTATGTGTAGGCGAGGAATACTTGGTTGAGACATAGGAAGTTAACAAACCTAACGATTCGAGACGTTGGAGTAAATAAATCAAAATCAATTACAATGTCGTTGATACTTCCCCTCTTCGTTTCATTCTAGATCTCAAGTTTAATATTTTACTTACAAAACTCGGTTTTTGTTCTTGAAGTTGATATTTTTACTACATATACTGCTACTCTGTCATATGCTGATATGTCATCTCTCTGTGCTGATATAGTGTGATGACTTGGACTGATTGACACAGGTATTAAGTTCTATATTGTGTTAGGACTGACCGATTGGCTGATACAACTTGAATAGAAAAATCAACACAAACTGTACACACAAAAAAACTCACAATTTTAACAACAACTTCTGTCGGCGTTCGAGTAGTGAACACATAACCCATAGTACGTGCAGCTTTCACAAGAGCTGCTTCATCTGACAAGTAAACAAAATTCAAACAACACAATTTGCAATAAAGGACTTCTGAAAAAGATTTATTCGATTGCTACATTTAAAATCCTTCTTATTTATTTTACTGGTTTGAATAAATTATTGGTTAGGTTATCTAAAATAGTAAAGCTACCATCATAGACTAAATTAAGTTTGACAATCAAAAAGAAGTTGTGACTAATGAAATCCAATCCGACCAATTGTAAGAAAGGTTACCTACTAATAACATTGAGAGACAGATGCACAATATTACAAATTATTGCTAAGCTATCGTAGTGAAAACTGAGCGTTTATGAGTTCGATCATCAATACTATCGTCAACGACCAATATTGAAGAATCTCTCACTAGAAATAAACAACTGCCAGTGCTTCTTGGTTTTCAATAATTGTCTGAAGTCAGTTAACGAAGTAAACTACAAAATACAACGATCTCCATAAACTACTACTAACTAGAACGGTCCAAAGTAACAATATATGAAGAGATGGTTGACAGTTGGTTCAAGACTTTGGCATTCAACCAATAGTACCAATCATAGTCAGCATCTTCAATACGAATATCAAGTCAGATTTACTGTACGGAGTTGAAACCTGGACAACTACTGCAACTATCAGCAAAAACGTTTAAGTATGTAAGTAACTATTCGTTATGCTCCGTGATTTATTATTTGAATATATTTCCTCACTAAATTGGTCACACGTTTCGAAGACCTAAACAATTAGCAGTAACTAGTTAGTAGCGTTGTGGATAGGAAGGACTTTACGGAAACCACTAAACTAAATCAGAACAGAATTTAAATGGAGATCCATGATTAGTGACATAGACAACAAGAAGGGTAACAGGCTAAAAGTAAATTAGTGAGACATTAGTTTGCTGCCTCTCGTAACTACACATATATTCACTTAATCTGGTTCATAAGTACTATGTGAAAGTAAGTTAAGAGATAAGTTGAATTCTTTTTAAATGCGATTAATTTACCAAGTCCGAGACCTTGAGTTACAATTTTGTATCAGGCCAAACGGTAGTACGCAGCTTTCCAAAAAGAAAACTCATTTATCAAGTACACATTTGCGCACTAGGCTTCGAACCACATTCGAAATGTGAGGCCGAGTGTTAAAAAACGGTCGATCGAACCAAAGTAAGTGGAGGGTCTGGGACCCAATATTCCGTCGCTGAAATTCGCAAATTATAAGGATTAAAATGTAATGCTGGGTTATGAACCTGTGGCAAAGGTACAACCAAAAAATATTATTGCAGTTAAACAAGTTACGTCCATCTATTAAGAAGTAAACGAAAGTTGCAGCAAGATCTCCACTGGCTTCTCTTCTGAGCCACATCTAATAACGTCTATAGCCACTGTGCTACATCATCTCTAGGACCCCAAACGTGGAGTTGTGACGGACCAATAGAAAACAGTCCTGTAGAGTTTACTTTCATACCACGACACCATGTGATACACTGACTACCTCTCCGCTTTTCAACCAGCCCCAACGTCGGCAAATAATGCACGATGTGGGATTCTCTGGGACGACATTCGTAGAACATGTCCAAGACACTGAAATCAATGTTTTAGGATGATGACATCAATCGGATTATCGTCTCTGCACCCGAACACACGACGCCGAACCTCTGAATTACTAACATAGTGTTATCACTGAATGTAAGCAATACTTTGGAGAAAACGATGGTCAAACACAGAGAGTCGTCTAATATCCTCAACTCGGAGAGGCCAGGTTTCAAAAGCATAGATAAAAACTGCTCTTATCGATGACATAAGCCGTTCTTGCTTTCACTACAAATGAATTGATCTTATCGTTCACGCCGCCAGCTCCGACCATCAGGCTTTTCGGTCCTTACGCAAGCTTTTCCCAATTGCATTACGTAACATCCTTCGATTGTGGTCAAACACATTTCACCCGAAGTAGATTGACGGGCTTCGATGAGTTGTAAGGAGCCTGAAGAAACTCAGTACTTATAAGCAGGACGTTCCGCAGAGCCGCAAGTGAATTTACTCGCCATTTTTATGGCATCGTGCAATTGTAATCAGTGCTCATCTATAATTTCAGTGGGATGGTAGCTAGTGTAGAAGCTAGCTCGGTTCGATACTTACTACCAACACAAGTTGCAACCAATTTACTGACATCAATTCGTTGGCCACTGGAAAGTAAGGTAAGATTATAGCAGTGCAGGGCATGATCAGATTCCAGATAGGTACTCCAAAAGGAGCGGCAGTCTTGTACACAACCAGGCCAGCGGTAACTGAACGCGATGTGATCGATCTGAGTCCATGCTTGATATGCAAATAGAGGACACCAGGTGGCACATCAGCGATAACTGTACCAGAAGTTAGTGCTAGCCAGAAACAGGTTGTAGTCTGTGCACAGTTGCAGTAGACGGCCCTCGTTATCTGTCCTGCGACCAACGAGTCCCCATCGGCCACCTAAACGACTCTCTTCTGTGCCTAGACACCCGACCTAAGCATTCAAGTCTCCGGCTAGTACTATAATATCTGTCGAACGCACTTTCTGGAGAAGAACAGTTAGCTGGTGGTAGAACTCGTCCTTGATTGCATCCAGGCTGCAATCTGTCGGGGCATAGGCGGAGATGACGAAAAGACATCGTTTCTCGCGCCGATTTCTTCTCACTTTGATGGAACTTTCTAATCTAACAGCACATAACCGACTGTTAATGGGGATCCAGTCAACTAGTGCTGCCTCAGCTCTTGCGCTTAGTGCGACACCAACGCCGTCATGACCAGACGAAGATGCCACAGGGTCCCCGGATAAACGCACATAAAACAAGCTTTTTGAAGCGACAGATGGTGGTAAAATTCACCCTTGATTGCATCCAGGCTGCAGTCTGTCGGGGCATAGGCGAAGATGACGAATAAACATTATTTCTCAAGATGATTGATAGTTATGTCCATAACTAACCAATCAAATCGTTGCTTAAACACCCACCACGTCAATCTGGTCTGATGTGTCTGTAGACTATCCCTGTTGCATGTGGCCTGCCAATTGAAGGACATTATTATCCTGTTATATTAGTGTGACTCATAATTTTTATTCATTCGATAAAACACGCAATACTGGACGGTATGTTTGTGCGTTCCACTTAATGACTATAATTCCTTTAGTTATTGTACTAATCAAATTGTTATTTTTACGTTTAGAAAGAGATAAAGTTTAAAGTCAAGTTGTCCTTGTTCTAATTATAACTCTCACATAGACCCTGGGTCGTCAGTATCGCATCTACAGTTTTGGTAGAATGTCTGTGAGACAAATTAAATCCTACACCGATTTCTTCGCACTGATGGAACTTTCTAAACTAACAGCACATAACCAAGTGTTAATGGGAATCAAATCGATCTGTACTGCCTCAGCTCTAAAGCTTAATGCGACACCGACGCCCGCAAAGCAGGCGAAGATGTCACAGGGTGTCCATAAAAAGGCACGTAAAACAAGCATTTCGAAGCGACAGATGGAGAGCGAATTTGTAGTACTACACTAAAATCTTGAATACGGGTCTCGGATAGATAACACCTTTGAATTTAGGACTTTCTAACGACATAGCCAACCCTATTTGTTGTCCGAACTGCATTAGTGTGAGAACGTCGAAGGAATCCAGTTTGAATGGTGCGCGTGGTTTTAGAAAGATTGTTTCAGTATTCCTTTTCGGTGGCAGCATTCAACATTTGACTCATCAGTGACTCGTGATCGTGTATATAGGACAGGGTTCCGACCATAGACGAGCTGCTGTATAAGCCGAAAAATAAGGATACACAAAATGAGAATAGAATAAATAGATAAGTGACGTAATAAATGGAAATGAATTTTATCAAATGAATGTGAATTGTCTGAATTTTAATCAAAGCAAGAATAGTATTCTCAGTATTAATTGTCATTTCATTTTATTTGTGTAGGATGTGATACTGCGCGGGTGCCCAGACCGAAGCATGTGGTTTTCATAGGGGGTTATAGTCAGAGCCTTTGACCTACAGGTCTTATCCACATGGCAGTAGAATGACGTTAGAAGATGCAGTTTCATGGTAGCCGATGATCAACAATCGGTTAATACATCATTTGTTCTCTCTGGATTCTGGAGCCCATGTGCATCATTGGTTTGGAATCAGGGTTTTCCAACTCACTTAGGTGGCCCCTCCGTGTCCACCAATCTTTTTAAAGCGCCAAACATTCGCTTTTTATCCTCTCAACTTAGTAAACAACACCGCCGCCGCAAGAAGGCCTTCCCTGTCAGTGACTGTATGCACGTGGCCTTGTGAGAGCATTTCGAGAGAGAGCTGACTCTCCCTATTCTCGGTCGTACTACGGTATTTGAAGATTTGCCATAGTGAATCTTTTCCTAAGTTCAACCTTACAGAAAACGATGAAGTGTTATCTAAGTTTAATATAGTATTAGATTTGAGACTTCGCTATTCCCATACGTTGTCATTCTCAAAACAGATTTCAACACACGTCTAGAACACAAAAGCTTCTGGGTTGCATAATAAGAATATTTATTCTGAGTAGTGTTCGCATAGACGATAGACTTAGCTTGAAACCCGTCCAACGGCGATCCACATTCCGTATTCTTGAGAATAACTAAAGCTAGCATGGCTCAAATCGTCTACAATGGCACAGGTGCATCCACTCTTTATGTTCTCCTAAGTTCTAGTCTTCTGAATTTTTCATGTCCCTTTTTCTCTCCAAATATATTTCACTGGATTATACTCCTTGGATAATATCTTCAAACACTAATGTTTCCGATTACTTCTTATACTCTTACTACCTCTACCACTAAGGGATTTGAATCGACAACTGCATCTCTGTGCTAGTGTGGTACGGCAACTCGAACTGATGTATGTACGTGAGAAGTTCTACGTTGTTGATGACTGATTGACACACTTTCCACAAAATGAAATCACTGCCATCTTTTGATGACTACACTGAAAGTTACATATCCTTTAAAATTTCCTCAAAAATCCTCA